ACAAAACATGCTAAAAAAGAAGAAGTGCTTTGCGTTTTTGAAAAAAAGCTATCCAGAGAAACGAAAAAAAAAGAATTTTTATGTAATTAGGACAACGTAATGCACAAAAAAAGTTAAAGTTTGGATGCAAAAAAAGTTTTGAAAAATGTTTTTTAGTACAATTAAGAAATTAAAAGATTAGCATTTTGTTTCGACAAAATGTTTTTCTTCAATATTTATTATGATAAACCGAATTTTATACCAAAAAATGAAAAAAAAAATTTTGGAAAATTGTTGAGACCAATTTAGCAAAATGTATGAAATTTGTACGACTAGTTTTTTTCATAGACTTAGTTAATGGAATTGTATGGTTAGCATTTTTGGTCACTGGAGGTCAACCCGGGACAGATTAACTTTGCCATATAAATGATTATTAACTGAGAAACATCATGCGAGATGCTACGTAATTGCGAGATGCACTAGGAAAAAAAATTCTTCTTGTTTCTTTATGGAGAGAAAACATTGAAAAATTCCGAAATAAATGACGCAAAATTAAAGTATTCTGATGGAAAATATTTCTCATATATTCTGTTTTTTTTTCGTCTTCGAACAGAAGAAGATTGATTGTTACAGATTAAGTTTGCCATATAAGAGAGTATTAAAGAAGGAACATCATGCGAGATGCTACATATTTTATGAAGCTACTTTTTTTTAATGAAAAGAGTGCGCGCAAATTTTAGCACAATAAAAGCTTCTTAATCACCAAATTTGCAGCTTTTAACACGTCATAACCTTGACAAAAGCTTAAGTTCTTTATCCTTGCCGTGTTTATAGATATTTGATAATCATCCTAAGTGTTATTACCGCACACACAAGTTTTCTCGTACGAAACTTAACCCTGAATGTCTTGACAGCCCGATAAAGATTAGGAAATTTAGAATAGACCAATAAAAAAACGAAATATAATGAAAGGAACATGGGTTTTTAAATCTTAACACAGAGGCGAAGCAGAGCGACCCCCATTTGCGACAAAAATTAAACAGAGAAAAAAAACATTTAAAAAAAAACAAGAACGATTTTTATTATGCCTCGATAAAAGACAAGTAGGGTCCCAGCTAAAGCTAGATGTAGGTCTTTTGATAACTTTGTTACACTTATATGTGATATGATGTTTATTTTCAAAAAAAAAGAACTTAGAACTTAGAACTTTACTCAAAACCATATTTATTTCTCTTCTGAACTAGAACAGAATGGTGAAAAATTATTAAAAAAATGAAACCTTCCCGAAGACATAAGTGATTTCGTGCAAACAATTAAATAGACCAGGCTTTTACCTGCGAAAATTTTCATGGTTTTGGCTCAGCGAGAGTCAATTCCCGTCGAAGTCAACGCTCTTCACAATAAACAGACCGTTAACGTGTAGACAAATAGCTTCTTGTTTTTTGCAATGTATGGGTCCCAGTTGTGAAGCCCGTTCCATGGGTTGTTATCACCGTTTCACCAACAATGATGTTAACGCTAAGCATCCCATCAATTTATATAGCCGACGTCTAACCGTACTGATGGTACTGACATTCAATCACCAACAGATTCAACACCAATGTGTTGATTATCTGCGTGCTGTTATACAACAAGAGTATGTTGTTTTGGGGCTCCTGGCCGCCCTCTTTTCAAATTAACATCAGTGCTTGATACGCCGAAGTACAAAAGCCAACATTAGTTTGTCTATGATAGCTGACCTTGCGATCGAGCGACTGGGCCACCGACAACCGCCATTCCGGAACTGCAGAGCAATTACTTCTGTCAGTTCATTGTAACGATTAGACGAAGCTCAGAGAAACGCTGTGGCTTCGTATTCACGTGAAAATAGAGACGTGCCGTTAACATTTAGGTTGTACCATCAATGAATACAAGTTTTTGTGTATAGGGTATAGAACGCTTCATTGTTTGCGAGGAACGCCTTCTGTCATCTGGTCCGACAGGGTACGCATTTTTACTGGCTGGGCCAAAAAGTTGGTTGCCTGCATCGAGAATTGGAATCTCCATGTACTCATTCTGCGCGTACATAAAGGCCTCTCCTGGAAAATTAAACCAATCGTTCACCTCATCATGGAGATGTGTGAGAAAAGTTCGTCCGGAGCACCAAAAGATTTTTCAATGACATTCTCGGAAAACAAAAGCTAATTGAAGATTTCCTAGAAACTACGTTATGTTTGGTTGAGGAATCTCTAAACAACCGTCCGCCCTCATCTATATCCTCCAATGCGATTGATTTTTAAGCGTTAAATTTGAATTTTTTCATTTCAGAACACCTCGAAAGTAGCTTTTCGACTTTAGATTTCGAGCAAAAATTCAATGATTGAAAGTGCTACGCCCAGGTGCTATCTTATGCAAATGCAATCAGGACTCTTTTACTCATTGGGTTAGTACATTTTAACGCTTAAAAACAAGCGAAATGGTTTTCTTCAGAGTCACACTTGAAAATTGGAGGCCTCGGTTGGATGATTGAGGAATGTATTCCAACAAGACATGAAACGGTAGCGCAAGTCAAGTCGTTGAACTTTGTCAACGGCAGCATTGCGCGGTCATCCGTGAAAAAATTAGCTTTCGGTGAGTACTTTTGTCCGATCGGGAAATTCAGCTTATATCTCCAATTGTGCAAACCATTTAGATATTGGATTGGTTTTAACCAAAAGTTGTCCTTAAATCTAGGAAACTTTTTTAACCTAGATTTTAAAACTTGAATTAACTCTTGTCTTGTTCGGTTTTGGCTCACACCTTGTTTGTTGGCCGTAGATGATAGAATATGTTTCTTTTCAGCCTTGTCTGATCGCAATAATTTATGATACTTTGAATTGTTCCTAAGAATGCTCTGATTAATGAGAGGTTTTTTAAATGCCTATTTTCTGGGTTGGTGAAACCGTAGAAGATGTTGACTAAATTTTGAATTACAAAAAATGGCTCAGAATTAAATTGACTATTCGAAAAATTTGAATTCAAATTAATAATTTTAGTAGCTTCCACGTCCAAAATGAACAGCCGAAAGTTTTTTAAACTTTCTGCAAAAATCAAAAATGTCAAAATAAGTTTGGGAACAAAGATGGCCGGTTGCTGTGCGTGTAGGACAGTACGTTCCGGCCAAATTTAGAAAAAAACTAAATTATTTAAAAAAACAATAACAAAATCATTTTTAACAAAGGATCAGACTCAAAAAACTTTCACAGAACTCATAACTTAACAATAAAAAATCCCAACTGGGAAAAACATCAAAAAGGCCAGTTAGCCGCCTATCGAGTGGTGTCTTCAACTTTTTTCATTTTTTTGTTTTTTATTTATTTTCGATTCAATTATCTTCAAAAATGAAAAACGAACAAAAAGTGAAAAATTCTTCAAAAAAACTTAACTTTTTTCTTTTTTACTCACAATATGGTTTCATTTTTTTTCAGAAACGATTTATTGCCACGGAAACGCTAAATTAAGCTTCCGCAATGGGCTACTCTGATTTATTCTGAAGAAATATATGACACATGTACAGCTGCAACTTAAGATGATGAAATACCATCTTTCAACTCTTTTGAACTCCTCCTCATTTTTTGCATCACAGTTTTTCTACTGCGTTTTTGTGGCGCTGTTCAGTTTTAAGAGAAGTAAAGAGACATCATTAAATATATAATTGCTTCTAAGCCAATTAAATACGCTTCATTATAATTGCATATTTTTTTTCAAGTTCCATACTGAGAGGTTTAATTTCGATGATTTCTCAGACCATCACAAATATATTTCATAAATGACTCAGAATATAAAATTTAAATTTGATTTCGTCCATCTGAATTTCATAGAATGTCGATATTTTGATCAGTAAGTTAAATGCGAGGCCAGGTAAATGAGCGTTCGGAGTTCAGGGCTTGTAACCGATCGGAGCAGATTTATTAAGTTTCGAACCAGAAGTAAATCATAACATGAAATCCAAAATTACGCTAAGTGATTATTTGTTTCAACATCATAACCACTCAATGTTTAATGGTTTTGCTCCATGGGTGAAAGCAACTAAACTTTTTAAATCAGTTCATTTTTTGTTTGGTTTGTGTTAATTTCAGAAAACTTTTCTTAGGGATTATCAAGTTTGGATCAACCGAAAACTTGATTCACATGTTTTTTGCTGACAACTAATTAAAAAAACTACAGTTCAATCGGAATTCAGTTCAAGTTCTAATTCAACACAAATTCAAGCAATGCTCGGACTCTAATTTTTCTTAGATGACCTTCGTATAGTATGACCTTTTTCTTAGTATGACCTTTTTCCAAAAGAGTTTTTTGATCGGAAGATTGATCCATTGGCAGCGTCAAGAAATCGCACACAGCTAAACTGCCTTGACACATGTCTAGCTAAACTGCTTGATACGAAAGTAACGGAATATTTGTGCTCGGCGTGGTTTTTTTTTTCTTCAGACAAATTTCGACTTTTTAACTAGCCATTTTTGACGGAATTTTTTTATATCATTCGAAAGCCATTGTTGTCGTGAGCTTAAATTTGAAAAAATATTTCACCTGTGATCGTTTTTCGTAAAGTTGTGAGGGTTTAAAGATTGCCAATTTGGCCAACTTGGGACAATTAACGCGCGATATAATTGGCTCTCTTAACGCGTAAGCGGAGATTTAATCCGTCTTAGAAATCGTTCCAAATTGGTTGAAAGAAGCTTATTTGCCATAATTGATTTGTTACGAGGAGCGGAATTTATCCTTTGGTACTTTTTATGGCGTATGGGTGGATGATTTTCACAAAAAATCTCAAATTTAGAAAAAAATATTCATTTTATTTTTATTGCATTTTATTTTTTAGGTTATTACTGCTCCATAAACCTTAAAAGGCAGTCGGAACATTCATGGCATCGCCCTGATACAAGCAGTCTTGTTATTTATCAGTTTCATCAAACAATTTTGAGCTGATTCTAAAAGTGTTCTTTTGTTGCTTCGAAAAGTGAGAAGAAAACGCAGTAAAGTATAACACACATTTACCGTAATAGTTTTTGACGAGTTGTGTTCAAATATCATGCATTCAAGTTGCTTTTATGAACGCTGACAGAACTTCTTACAAGATTGGTTTTTATTCATTTGAAAATATAAACGTGAACATCTTTGTGCGTTTCTTTTATTCCTATTTGAAATTCAGACAATTCAGCCAAAATTATGCAGACAATTCAGCCAAAGACAATTCAGCCAATAATTGGGACCGCCGCAGTCGCGCCAACGTGTTGCGAGCTTGCCAACAGAGGGTAGGACTCTATACGAAATTTAGAGCCGGTTATCGCCGCAAAGCGGCGACGCGCGCTTAGCGCGCTCACCGCCGACCTTAAACCGAGAAATAACTCCAATTCCATTTTTTTCCTTTCCGAATCTAGCGTTTTGTAAAACTGGCTGAATTGTCTCAGGCTAAATTGTCTGTATATTTCTGGCTGAATTGTCTGAATTTCAAATTGGCTGAATTGTCTTTGGCCGAATTGTCTGTGCGCCGGTGCAAGTATGATGGATGGCAAAGTCAGGTTTGGAAACTGGGATCTACGGCATTACCAAAAAGGTCAATAAAGGAAAGTTTTTTTTCTTCTAAATTGCTTTTAACTGCTTCAAGGACTCATACTGTAATTCTATCGACTCAAACTATCATACTTGTACCCAGGGGCGGATTTAGGGGGGATTCGACCCTCTGCCGACCCAAAGGGTCCCCCCTTTGTACTATTTTGAGATATCCATTTTTGGTGACGGACCCTGAAGTTTTTCTAAAGGCGCCTTCGGCGCCAATATATACTAATTTTGAGGGGGGAACCTAACAACGCCTTTTTTGGCCTGTTTTTTCAAAATTTTGCTTGCGGCGTAGAAATTTTGGCCGAAACAGGGTCTTTTTAGTGCTTTGGAAGAGCTCAGAAAATCAATTTGGTCGACCTAAAAAAAAGGTTGACAAGACTTTCGAAATTTTTTTGAAAATCCGCCCCCCTCGAGAAAATCCTAGATCCGCCCCTGCTTGTACCCCAGGGGCGGATCTAGGATTAACTCGAGGGGGAGCAGTTTTTCAGGACTGTTTTGTCGATTGTTTTAGGTCGACCAAATTGATTTTCTGAATGCCCCAGAATCCTATAAATACCCTATTTTGACAGAATTTTCTGTGCCGTAGCCAAATATTTGAAAACAAAACAGGTCAAAAATTCCGTTTTGGCACTTTTAGGAAAACGCGTTTTTCAAAATAAGAATAAATTAGGGCCAAAAGCGTCTTTAAAAACACATAAGGGTTGTTGTCTTCGAAAATGGATGTCATAAAAATCATACTAAAGGGGGACTCTTTGGTTGCCGAGTGGGCCAAATCTTTGAGGGGGGTCCCCCTTTAACTAAATCCGCCCCTGATTGAACCTTCCCGGGATGACCGAAACTCCTTATCATACAATTCCCATATATGAGAAACTTCTTGTCATACAATTCCATACAATGCCATACGTACAGAACATTGTATGAAATCTCTATGATAAACATTTTTCCATAAATGAAAATTGTATGATAGATGTTTTTCCATAAAGCAGAAAGTTTGATTTTTTCTTTCTAAATTTATTTCTGAAAAATTTTACGTTGTGTTTGCAGCCGAACATAAGTGTCAAAGACCTTGGTTATTCAAAGCACCAAAGGTTGGACGGTCTTTGCATTTATACTGCATTGAAAACGACCTGAGTACAGCTGTCTTTCACAATTGATATAACAAAAGCAACAAACTTTTAGTTTTTGACAGAATTTTTTAATGGTGATTATTTTCAATTTTTGAATTTTCAAATTATCAGACATTGATCAAGTTATACATTAACACCCCATACAAAAAAATAGGAATTTTCAGCGTTTTTGAAAAAAAAAAATTAAGTGAAAAGAAAATAAAAGCCAATTTTATCGTATCCAGGACTACGTTATGCACACAAAATATTAATTTTAGCATGCAAAAAATTTTTTTTCGAAAAATGTTTGTTTGCGTACGAAATTCGATTTGCCATTGAAAAAAAAAACAAAAAAAATTTTGGGCCAAATTTTCAAAATTACTTGAAAAATTTTTTGTGTCGCCATCAAAAAAATGCCAGTCATACAATTTCCATATATGGGAATTGTATGATAAGCATTTTTTTCAAAAAACGAAAACCTCAGTTTTTTATCACCAGATTGTTTTATTAGAATCAAACAGCCACAGAAAAGAGTTTATACCAATTTTCAACCATTTTTAGAAATTGTATGAAAATTGTATGACAAGCATTTTCCCACACACTTGATGTATGGAATTGTATGATAAGCATTTTCGGTGTATGGAGGTCAACCCGGGTTAATAGCCAACAGCATGCTCTCAAGGGGAGATTGGATTAAATGAAAACTCAGTTTTAACGTTTCAAAGATTTACTGATTGTTCAAATGTCTCAACAGCAAAACAGTTCAGCACGCAGTGTCACTTTCAACGACGAGCAAACAGCAGCACAGCAGCAGGACGACAGCTGTCGGATGAAACAGATGACGGAGTTGCGCGAGTCGTCGGCTTTCATCCGCAGACACCCAGAGTCGCTGCTGTTTGTGGCATGCAAGGTGTTCCAGGCACTGGACGCAGACAACAACTCCCAAATTAGCTGGCCTGAAATTGAGGTGAAATCAAGTTCTCAAAATTGTTTTTTTTTTCATTACAGATTCGAACCACTGGCAGAAAACAAATAGCTTAAATAACGCCCATTCGAGCCTCTTTTTAAAGCACTTCTTTTTCCATTCAGTGTTTCGGGAGTTCAACAAAACCAGTAAACTTTAAAGCAAAATGCTACTATAATTAGTGTCAAAATAATTTGATTGATTCAGGTTGAAAAATAATTAAGGTTGAATTTATCTAACAGATGCTATAGTTGATTTAAGGAGTTATTAATTTTTATTGGTAAGTTTAAAAATTTAGGAAAAATCTATGATGTTCCCTTTCTTATGTTTTTATGTGATGCTAAATTTGAGTCATCAGTTACAGTTCCAGCTTAGTTTGCCAATAATTTTCTCTAGAGTCCTTACATCATCCATTAATTTACCACCCAGTGAAAAACTGCTTCAAAATTTTTTAATGTAGTTCGAATCATGACTGAAACGGCTTTAATAAATTATATCACTCAACTCTCTCCGATGATTATTTGTGGTAACTGATTTTGCGTGGAAAAAAGCTGGAGCACCAGAGTACAATGTCCCCCCCCCCTTATTCAAATGGACGGAACAATAATTACAATGACCAAGCTGGTCAGTCAGTTGACGTTTTCTAGCTTTGCAGTTTTCTTGATACTCGATATTTATCCATTTATCACTGCGGGCATTCATCACTGCGGAAAGATTCATCACTCGGATTTATTGGGATTCTCAAAAAAGTGGCAGTTTGGGCCATGTGGAAACCATCTACAGTAGTTATAAGATGATTTGGGTTTTTTTTAGCGACTATTCTATAGCGGATGCTTCGATCGTATCTAGCTTAATCGAATTGTACATGTGTTTAAGGATAGCTTCCTCGGAAACTTGGAGAATATTCCTTTTGACAACAAAGAGCAATTGAAAGAGTGCTTCTACAAATGGGCTTCCGTGGACGAAAACAGCGAGGAATTGAGCTTCGATGAGTTCTTGGGTTTTTTTCAGGAACTCATCGAGATGATTTGAACTATCCTGCCAACTGAAATGTCTCCTGTTTTTAATCCAAAGAATTTGACTGCAAGAATTCATCAGTTTAATTGTTTAAAAACTAGATATTGATATGTCAGGTGCCTTTTTCCAGCATCTGAAAGATTCGTTTTTTTTTTCAGGAATAAAGAAGAGCTTAGATAACGCTGTCGCTGATGAATAAATTGAATTGTACTGAACACAATTTTTTTTCATATCACAAATAACAGTACGTAAATTTAACTGTTCGTTTTTTCTTCATATGGCGCCCAGTAGATTAGTATATTAATCATAATAATGATCACAATAAAAAAACAATTATAACTATACACACTTTAGGATTTCTCAGCGGGGAAAAAGTCCCCGATTGGTTGAATTTTAACAGAATTGATTCAGTTCTGTTTATTTGTTTTAGATGGAATGATAGTTTGATAAGTGAAAGAACTTCAGTTTACTCAAATTTCTGCATTTCTCAAAGAAACAACCATTTCCCCAAGTGCATAGATCTTTTTTGTTTAACGTCGTGATGAAACAGTTCCAGTACAGTTTCAAAAGAGTTTTCTTGATTCCAATTCTAACAGGTTGATTTTATCAGGTAAATTATCAAATTGGGTCTTTTGATCCAAAAATTTGATTTTGTTGGGTTGTATCGTGCTTGGTTGAATCTTCGATTTTTCCTCTCGGGTTTATTGGGCTTCTGGACGCACGGCTCTTATAATACTATTGGAACAATGCAGCTGGAATAAGCGTTTAGCTTCAATTCAAGGTTTGCTATGCTGATAAGGTTTCGCTTCGAGGCTCGAGGATATCACTGGGACTAGGCCTCGAGAGGCTATGAGTAGAACTTTTTCAGTTTCAGGCTGTTCCAATTCATAGTTTTCGATGTACATTTTGATTTGTTCAGTCAATGCATTTCTAAAAGTGAGGTTATGGCATTTCCAAAAATTAGATTTCATTTAGTTTTACAGCCCCATTTGCTCAATTTGGCCACGTCTTTTTTGTAATGATTCTGGTTTGTGGATAGAAGATTGTAGTCGTCTGCGTACCCAAAAGAATGGTTGAATGGGCCTTGGGGTAGATCATTTATGAATATATTTAAAGAATAGAGGCCCAAGAATAAGCTTGTGATACCCTGCTTGTGACTTCTAAACCGATGAATTTCTCAAAATTAATTCGAAGTTTTTGTTTTTCATTACGTTAGATAGCTATGAAAAAGTTTTAAGAGATTTACAGCCAATCCAAAAAATTTCAATTTTGCGATGAGGATTTCGTGGCTTACTGTATCGAACGTTTTTTTTTTAAATCGATGTGAGCTGATAGAAGATTTTGTTTCGTGGTTGTCTTAAATTGAGTACATTAGTCTAAAGACATAATTTGTAAGGTGGTAGATTTTTTTGGGCATGAACCAAAATTGACTATTCATAATTTTATGATAGATCTTTGTTGAGTTTTCCTCGAAGATAAATTTTTCAAGTGTTTTAGAAAGATTGCAGAGAGGACTGATTGGTCGTTAATTTGATATTGATGCTTAGAGATGCCACTTGACTTGAGAGGGTCTAAGTTGCTCTGGATTTCAATGACTTTTTTGGTGAAGTATATACTTCTCATTGACTTGATTCCATTAAGACACTCCATTTTATGACATTAAAAACCTTTTGAAATTATCGGTGGAAAAACTAGCTTTGTTGGCGTCGTTATCAGCTGTGTTTCCGTCTCAAAACAAGTTTGATGATATATGTGCTGTTTTTTAATGCTTTTAGTTTTTTTGGATGCGGGAAAAAACTCTATCGGTAAAAATGTTTCGTTCCAAGACTTTTTGATCTTCACTCGAAACGGTTTTGGCAACCTGTTTCGAAATTTCTTTTTGATTTTCGAGGACCAGTAGGTTTACAGTGCACTTTACTTTTTCCTCCAAAGTTTGGAGCCTCTTAAGAGTATTTGATGTAGATGGTCTTATCCACGTTAGTAGTGAACGTTTATGTAATCTTCTTACGGGCAGTAGTAAGTTGAGGGTTTCAAAAGCCATAAAAACCAGCTTCGAAGAAGATGCTTATTTTTGTTGAAGACAAAATGGCTCGAATGGCTGCTCAGTTATGAAAAGATTTAACTCTTTCTAATCGCAGGTTTGCAGAGAAAATCTTGTGATGTCAAAGAAAACCTGATCATTTTCTCTCTGGAGGGTGCGATCTTTTGAGTCAAGCTCAAAGTAATGTTGAATAGCTCATGATCCGAGAAAAGCCTGCTGCCAAGATAGTAGGAGGATTTCGTTTTTAGGCTGTCGCGACAAAAGTACAAGATTTGGGATGTGGTATAGGACACCGTTCAATTCATTGTGGGGCGTACTGATGAATTATCGATAGTTTGACTCGAGACTAGTTTTTTTTGAAGTTCGGAATATGTTTCATTTAGGAATTGCATTGTAGGACAGTTTGTATTGGCAAATTTTATGTCGCCAACAATAAGGGCAGTGTTACCCCGACTAGCGTCGGGTAGAAATTCAAAATTGACATCAGCTCTGATAGAGGGTTGCGAAATGGGCTACTACGCGGGGATTCTAAATTCAGAAGTAGATAGGAAACTGAGCAATTATTTTTAACACTGATGCACTCTTCGAAGCTGTTGGAATGTCGGAGTAAGTAAGGTGCTTTTGAATGCAACCAAAACGCCTCCGTGTTCAGACTTGTGCCTTGATTGCTTACGATTTTCCCTCAAAAAATCATAACCAGGGAGGAATACAGCGTTGTCGGGTACATCAGATACAGACCAAATTTCAGATAGACATATAAATTTGTGTTCATGAACGTCGATCAGATTAGGTTGCTTTAAAGACTTCTTCAGTGAAAGACTAAAACTTTCCCTACATTATAGCTTAAATCGTTGATTCGTCCGGTTTGAAGTTGCAATAGTCATTAGCCCTAGTTAGAGGTCAGAATTTCGGGTTCAACTTTGACCCAGTTTGCGTCTTTCTATGCTGTAACTCAAAAACTCTTAATCGTAAATCCTTTTGGTATTAATCCATTTGCAATAAAGGGACATCACAATCGCAAGATATCTTTTTCAATTTCCAGCTCGTCTTTAGCCAGTTTCGCACTGATGTACACTTTGTTCGCGTAATTTGTTAAGGCAGCGGTGAAAAACAGGATCATGACACGATCAATAAGAAAACGGCACTTTCAATAGAAGCGTTTTAGGGGCTTGCCTAGTTATACTCAGTATTTGCCTAGTCGATTCAGTTTTCTTGTCTTGCAGTCAACACTAAAAACTTGCAGAACTTTGTTGAACTCAACAAGATTATGGTTAAGTAGCTTTCGAGTGCCTTCTCATTTGATTCTGGTTTTACTTTTGTTTATAGGCCTTATGCTGGTTAGGCTCCCTTGTTTTTCTAAATTTTAGCTTGTTGTACAGTTTTGGGCAATACCGGTAATTCAAGACAATGCCGAAGGAGCTATTTCAGCTATGGTGTCTCAAATTTTTTTTAGTGCGACCTAAATCGCGTTGATTTGTTCGTTTCTTTACGGAAGAAAAGAAATCCAGAACTTTTTCATCGCATTTTTTGTTTGCGACGCAAGAGTTACATCGCAGTAGCGCATTTTGACCCAGCTCTTTCATCCCATTGATCGCAACAGGTCAAAGGCCTGTAGAGTTTTCATGGTGGGTTCTGCATTGGCAGCTTACACATTCAGAAACCTCATTGTTTTCATTGATTCGCTTTTGACAGGTGTTACAATTATCAACTTTGTTCAATATTTCAATAGTTTTTTTTATTATTGCTCTTTACTTGAGACATTATAAGTTTCAATGCGAGCAACTAAGCCACTCCGAGATAGCTATATTGTTTTGGAGTCACAAAAGAACTAAGATCGAAAAATATTTAAGATACTGCTCACCTACTTCTTGAGCAGATTTTTCAGCTGCTGCTTCTTGCATCCCTTCGAGGAAGGCTTGTTCTTCTTGGATCGTTTTTTCTTTACAAGAAAAGAAACGTTGTCTTGATGTCTCCAGCTACAGCTCAGGTGTTGTGGAACTGTTCTCTGATATGAGGTCTTCGACCAGTGTAAGTCTCTGAGGAATCGTTAGGGCAGTAGGTACTTGACTATTTGAAAATCTAGAATTTTTGTTTCCTGCTTTTCTTACAGATTATTCGGTGTAACCCGCCGCTGAAGGTATACAGTTGCAATAATCCTGCGATTGAAGGATTATTGCACCAGGAGTTGCTGTTACGTTTCGTGGTTTTAAATTGCGTTTGAAATTATTAGGCGCGTCTCTTACTGCATTCACAAAGGAGCTGGCAACAATGAAAAACACCATCCGGAGTCGGTTTCTAAAAATCGTTAGAAAAGCGACACCTTGACAGGACCGATCTCATACGATTTTACATGAAATACCACATATATTAGGTTTATCACAATATTTGGCTAATTAGGCTAAAGCATCAATGCTTACACTTTAAATCAGAAACACTTTTAAGCAAAAGCCCCATCCTAATCAAGCGCCACAACCTGATTTCAACCACACCTCGAAAAAGAAGATGAAATCAATTCGGAAAAAAAATCAAGTCATTACCATCTAGAAAGCCTGTTTAACAGGAGGAAAATTAAACACAGTATGCTGAAACTGTTTACAAACTTCTTTCACGCACTGTGAGCCAATGAGCTCGCAGCAACTTAAAAAATGTATTAATGCTAGTGTTCTGGTTGCTCATTTTATTAATGATTAGGTAATATTTAGTATCTTATTGACCTTGATAGCATTTACTCCGTTGGAACAGTCCAACCATTGTGTTTGGTCGTTGTTTTATAGACCAGTCCTTAACTCATTCTTAACTACATTCTTTCTTTTAACCTTCTCATCTAGAATTTACGGGAAAACTGTTTTAATAATTTGAAATGAGGTCTCCTAATCTGGCTT